TTTTTTCGGAGCTGCAACACATACTTATTTAATAAAGCAGAGAGCAGTTCACTGAATCAACAGCAAGTTATAACATTGGAAGCATGTCTGCAGGAAGGAGCCATCTTGGAGTCAACGTATTACCGTGATGACCATACAAAAGACGCACCGGATTTTAAGGCACTCGGTGAGCACTGAGCTTTTAAGAAAATTGAAGACTTTTTGGTGCGACCAATCGTGCAGAAAATACGGTAAATCCATTTACCTGGCTCAGGCATACTAAGGAAGGCATACACTGTTATTTATGCCGAAGGCACTGCGTCCTAACACAGCGGAACCGTGGTGGGGACTCATGCCCCAACAGACATTTTTGGGTTTTTTTGTGGTGCATGGTACTACTTTGTCAATCAAAGTGACTTTATTGAGGTGTTTAAGTTTTTTCCTCTCTTGTTACTTTACGTACAAATATTTTTGAAGAGGAAACCTTTCTGAGATGTTTTCCTTTGGTCATTCAGTCAGTTTCTTCTTGCTTGTTATCACTCTCCAAATTAACGTGTAACTACGCTTTAGGTCCTCATCATCACCTTCAACTCTCGTTTTTCCTCACTGCAGGTCTCCCTGCTGTTTCTGTGCCGGTGACCTTATCCAGAAGAGGCCTTCCCATTGGCTTACAACTCATCGGCCCCGCCTTCCGAGACAAGAAGCTGCTGAGTGTTGCCCAGTGGATCGAACAAAGGGTTGGGTTTCCCCCCATCGGTGACTTTGAGGAATCTAACATAAGACAGAGTTCCAGTTACGATATTAGTTTTGCCCAGGGGCAGAGATGATTAGATGTAGTAGTTGAAGGTTGAAAGTTGTAATTAACTTAAAGAAAAAACCTTCAAAGCCATTTATACATTTCCTGTAAAGAGGAACAGCCAGCCACAGAAATCAGGTTTTTGGCCTTTAACCCTTTCATGCACCCTGTAACCTGATAACATGACAAGCTGTCCACTGTAATAACCGCTGTCCCTGAAAGGGTTAAAGTCTGTTATTTGTCTTTGTATTGGATAAAGCTGAAGCCAATCAAACAAATCAGTTCTAAACAACTTAATGGAATGCTGGTCACAGGTGAGATACAACGCAAAACCTTTTACCTGGAAAATATACTGTAAAGGTACAAGCTTCAGAAACTGCCATGCGCCCTCATAAATGACATCACTATTGTCTTTTATTTCATCTTTCAAGGGATAAATTACCATACAAAAGTCCGAAGCAGACTTGTAGACTTGTAGATAAAATCATGAGATGCAACGCAAAACCTTTTACCTGGAAAATATACTGTAACTTTTGAAATCATGAATGAGAGAGAAGCATGTTCTTGAGAATCGTGTATTTTCTGTAGCAACTGTCCGGGCAGCCATCTTTTATGCCACTTGCCATTATTAGCTGCAACCAATCCTAATTTGACATTGGATGAAAGGAGGAGTACATGCTAAACTGGTCACCTGTCAATCACAGGGCACATCTCAACAAACAAGCATTCAAAGCTGTGAACCTTTTAAAGTCTTAAATTAACATTAAATGCATTTTTCAGGAAGGCTGGAGCAAAGATTTGAAACCTCTCTATTGTGAGGCGGGCACCCTAACCTCTATTCCAATTTTCAACGTGTATCTGTTGATGATTAATTTTGAGTTTGACTGTACATAGTAAAAATCACTCACCACTGGACCTACTGGAGCACTGATTCTCAACATTTGGATCAGGAGGCAAAAATTGGGTGGAAGAACCATTTGGAGTTGAGGCCATGAACAACTGGCTACCTTGCTGTTTTCGAGAGTGTGGGGATGTAAAAAAAATGTTTTTGCTTGGTTGAAGTTCTATAGAATTGAACTGAATGACCAAGTGAGACGTGAGAAGCTTTGCATTCAAGTGCCGAGAGAGCACAGATGAAACTGACACAGCCATCAGAGCTGGAAAGGTGCTCAAAGAAGAGTTTATAGAAACTCAAATAAACTGCTCTCTGTTGACTTCAGCTCCATATAACCCTCCCCTGATCGATTGCTGATTGGCCCAACTATGCTGACTGGTAGAGTATAATTCACATTCAAAATAAAATGTACCTGTGTGAAAGTCTTGGTACTGCCTTTTGTTGATCGTTGACTTATTACGGCATCCGCTTATTGAAATATTGCCAGTGAACATTTATTTCTACTTATTTAAAAGAGCCTGCCTCATTCTTTCATAATTAAAACCGTACCTCTCCAAGTACTCAAATCCTAGCTCACCGTTGCTACATTTAGCTTGCTGGCTAACTTTAGGTAACTCCCACTGAGAGTAACACAATTTATGTACTGAATTTCAAAGTCACTTTTTTTTTTTTCCCTGTGGCCAGATTGTTCCACTTTTTAGGGCAGTGTTGTCTTTAGTACTCAGATAAATTCTTAAGGGGAAAAAGCAGTGTTGATCATTAGCACCTTAGCACCACTGTGACAGGGACACATAGATTCAAGCAATTTTAGGGGACACCTTCCCAATCTAATGAAACATGATCTACCGTAAGAACTGTCTGGATCAAAAGGTCTACCTTTAAAAATACTAGTTTTGAGGTTCATTTGTAATGTATGATGTTCATGTATCTTTCGGGATGTCAAAGGTGCACACTGCAAAAGTGAAGGATGTGTGTGTGTGTGTGTGTGTGTGTGTGTGTGTATAAATAGCGTTAAGTTGTCATTTCCAAAAACTGAGGTAAAGTGACACATTCCTGAGTGACAAATAAGTCACATTGCATGCAGCATCAAAAGTAGGTCATGCAAAACTTTCTGCAGCAAGCTCGCAGCAGGGCCACAAAGTGTACAGATGGCAGCCAAATGATTGGCCACTCTGCTTAAATGTGACCACATTTTGTGGAAATGTTTTTGCTGCCTTATCTCATATTTGGGGTATGTGGAGTAAGATAAGTGCCTCAAACAAATTTGACGTGCCCACTGAAACATCATGTCAGGGAGTCATTCAATACAAGGTGCTGCTACCTGCTCACTGATTTGTCGCTGGTGTTGAATAGCTCAAGAAATACAAACAGTGCTCACATTTACTCGAGTGTGAAGGGGGAAAAAAAGTAGTGGAGGTTAAGCAACAAATTTATTGAAGGTCATCCTTGTCCTGTTGAGGGTTGTGAGAAACTGGGGTCTATCCCAGCTAATATCAGACAAAAGGCATGATTACACCCTGGATTTGTCTTCACTGACAGAGCTTTATTTAATTCACGCATGTGGAAAATACACTTGACTCTCAGCAACTTAATTCATTGTTTATGTACTGTATAGTTTAAAGAGGTTACACATTGCAATGCCATCCAATTTGGGTGGGGAGTGGTAATCCTAATCCGCAACAAGTGCATAGAGATTCCATTAGTTGATAGGGTCCTAGTGACATTCTGTAAAAAAGTGTACTATTAATTGTAAATTGCTTCCGAACCTGAACAACGCCATGTTAAAAACAACAACAACAAAAAATGCAAGGGTTTTTTTTTTCAATTTTCGGGGAAAAAAAAATGGTTTTAGAGATCCAGTCAAACCTGGTACTGTTAATTGTAAATAGCTTTCGAACCTGAACAACGCCATGTTAAAAACAACAACAAAAAATGCAACGTTTTTTTTTTTTCAATTTTCTGAAGGAAAAAAAAATGGTTTTAGAGATCCAGTCAAACCTCGGTTTTCGAATGTCTCGGTTCTCGAACAAACTGAGCGCACTTGAATGCACCGTTTGACTCCTCTCGCTTTCCTTACACGAGAAGTGACGCTTCCTCGGGTAGACGAGGAAGTGACGGAGTTTTTTATGCCTCGGATGACGAACAAATTTCGGTTCTCGAACAAACTGAGCGCACTTGAATGCACCGTTTGACTCCTCTCGCTTTCCTTACACGAGAAGTGACGCTTCCTCGGGTAGACGAGGAAGTGACGCTTCCTCTCGGGTAGACGAGGAAGTGACGCTTCCTCGTGTTGCTTTCCATTGTGAGCATACGTGTTCAGTAAACATTTTTATTTGAAAAAGAGCGTGGTTTCGGTTTTCGAACAGCCTTCTGGAACGGATTATGGATGAAAACGGAGGTTTGACTGTATGAAGATCCCACTTGAGAGTGACAATTAGTGGGGTCAGAGGTCACAGCTGGTGCACTTGACTTGTACAACCTGTGTTGTGGTTCATGTTTCATGGGTTCTAGGTCAGGGCTCTCAAGTTCTGAAATACCAACCACACTGATAGTGATATGATGGAACAAAAACAGGCATTCCTCATACTGGCGAGTATAGAAAATTAAACGGTATACATGTACATGGCGTTTAGTGATTTGATGCTGTGAGACATAATTGTCGGTAGAGTAAGAGTTTTCTTACAATTAACTATATTGTGCATCAATCTCGATCTTATGATCGACTCTACCGTTGGGATGGGCTGTGGTTTGCACGCAATGCAAACCAAACTCAGTTCGTGTGAAGAACATCCGTTTCCTGAAAATTGTCAGTTGCTGTTAGTTTCATGCTGGGTAAACCACAATTCAGAGAAATGAAGAGGTGTAACAGAGGTCTGAATGCATTGATGAGTTAGATTGACAATTTTACAATTTTAAAAAAATGTTTAGTGTGTGGTATGAGATTGCTTTGTGAGACAAAATTCATATTGTAAGCCAATTCACTCAATCCAGAGAGTCAATGTACCGGTATATCTACAAATTTAATGTCGGATTTGATGCGCTTTTAGTTTTGATGTCTAAATCTCAAGCAATTCATCTTCCTGAACCCAAACGTGTCGTGTTTGTTTTCCTCCCCCACTTTGTCACCACACCCCAGCTCAGATTTCCTTCAGTTTCAGGGGATGTGTGGATTGGCGGCAAAGGGAAGTGGAAGAGAGCTTTGAGTGGTCGCACTCTGTTAGTCAACTAAAACACAAGTCTTGTCCCCATCACCTGACCACCCTCCGCCGGCATTCAAGAGTTGCTACCAAGGAATGTGACCACAGCAAGTTCCAAAAGTCGGTGTTCTTGACTGAAGATGTGAAAAAGTCAAAGGAGAAACTTGTATGCATAGTAGCGGCAGGAAGTAAAAGGAAGAAATGAGAGATGGGCGCTATGTGGCACACATCCCAATGAAGTCTGTTTTTCAGAAGATAAGATGAGCTGGACAATGCCGCCATTGTCCTAAACTGGGGTTGGAAGGCAATTCCCACACAAAACCAAATCAATGTGGAGTCCAGTGAATTCCATGCGTCACTCTTGGAAAGAGCCCCTTTGTCCAAGCGGCAGGTAGAGGCTGGACTGGTCAGTGTATAAATTATTCACCTGCTGAAAATCAATTGATCCTCCATTGTGTTTTATCGCCGTTTGTTTTGAGCTGGTTGACTTTGTCACGATAGTGACCTCAGACCTTTTCATTTAATGTTTACCAATTAGCAAAGTTGCGCAAAACTGAGGGGCTGGATTCATGAAGAAATTGTTAGCATTCATGGTACTTTGACACGAGTTGTAACCAAAGGGGTCACCATGACAATTGAGTGCAGTTCGAAAGGTGCCTCAATTGAGCGGCTCCCCTTATTCCATCAAAATACACCAAGGATAAATCGCAACATATCCATTTGTCACACTCTGGCTTTAGACATGCTGTTTTCAGCCAAGCAACTTCAGTGCTTTGACTTTCCTCAAACTTCAACACTGCCTATCTTTTTAACCATTTGAGTTTAGTTCGCCTAGTTTCTACTGCTCGTTGCATTTTCTGGCAGTCTGACATTACATCTGGTTTGGGGGGAAGAATGCAGTGGAGGTGTGTGCCATGTTGACCATCTTGATGACACCACCCATAAGTCATTGGTCTCCCTTTTAAAAAACATTTTAACTCCACTTGTGGTAAAGTGAGCCATGCGAAAAAGACTTTTTGAAATCCTTAAACTACCCAATCCGTCACCATCTAATTAGCACAGTGTCACTGGACTGAGTAAAGAGCTTCAACTTAAATCTTGATAGCAGAGCTGTCTAAGTCCAGGAAAGCACAGAATTGTCGTCTAGTAACTGCATTACCAATTGAGCTCAATTTTACAGTACTGTATTTTCCGCACTAAAAGGCACACTGGATTATGGGGTGCACCTTCAATGAATGGTCTATTTTTCAATGTTTTTCATATATTGGACGCACTGATAAGGCGTAATCTACAATGCATTCACTAGATGGCGCTACGCTCCTGTTCAACTCAAGAGGCGTTCATGACCGCCTCCAAAAGAACGTAAATTAACGATTACAGTACTTCAATTGAACTACGAAAATTGAAAATGCATAAAAACAGAAAATCAAGCGAGGAAATCACAAAATAAATTCTATAGCCCCCACTTGGCATTTCCTTGAGCGTAGCTCCAACAGAACGATCAGATGTTAGTTAAATGTTGGGGACTAGACTGTCTCAGAACTTTTTTCCTTTGTGTATTCAGAAATGAGGAAATCACAGAATAAATTCTGTAGGGGGGGCTAGAAAATTTATTTTGTGATTTCCTCGCTTGATTTGTTTTGATGCATTATTTTCAATTTTTGTAGTTTCATTGAACGAAACGTTAATTTATGTTTTTCGGAGATGGTCACGAACGCCTCTCGAGTCGAACGGAAGAAGAGGAGGCACGGAGAAGGACAAAGACGGACCGGTATTTGTTGAATGAAAACCATTAATGTGCGTTTAAAAAAAAAAAACCTCTCGAGTCGAACGGAAGAAGAGGAGGCACCGAGAAGGACAAAGACGGACCGGTATTTGTTGAGAATGAAAACCATTAATGTGCGTTTAAAAAAAAAAAACCACCACAGCTCTCCTTTTTTCAGAGCGGCAACAAAAACATTGAATGAAGCAGCGACACCGTTCACTGAACCAACAGCAAGTTATAACATTGCAAGCATGTCTCCAGCAAAGAGCCATCTTGGGTCAACATATTACCGAAATCATTTCGCCTTGTGTATGGTCATTTCGGCAAAATGACCATACACAAGGCGCACCTGATTTTAAGGCACGCCGTGAGCTTTTAAGAAAACGGAAGACTTTTGGGTGCGCCCTAGAGTGCGGAAAATACGTTACACGTCACAAAATCCAAGTGAACATTTAGAAATTCAGCCAAAGTCACCGAGTTGAATGTTTATTGAATTTACAAAATATTTCAAGACCTAAAAAGCACTCAATGTTTTATATTTTCAAAAGTACAAAGTTTAACTGGCATCCTTTTATATATATTAAAAAAAGGGACACACTCACTGGACATTTAAGACAAAGACGTCGCCAACTATTGGACAGCACACAGTGCGTTACTTCCTGGTGATAGTCCAGTCAATGAAAGACTTTCACGACTTGACAAAGCGCTTCTGCAGCACATTCAGACCATCAAACTCCAGGTGTCTCATCTTTGGACAAACCAAGTGGCAAGGCCATTGAACTCTTCATGTCCAGTGAAGGGGCTCTTAGCGCACGCATCAGCACCATGTATTGTAGAACAGAGGGACCAAGGCGAGGGCCAGGGTCAGGGTCAGCAAGATGGAGGCGTTGATCCTGGAGCATGCGTTCATGACAGTCGTGTTGGCAGGGGCTGGGCTCATGGTGGATGCAGCCAAATTTGTCGTCCTCGTCGCCGCCGTGTTAACGACCACCTGCAATAGAAACAGGCAAAGAAGTTTCGGCTGCGAATAAACACCACTAAGTCACAATGTTCCTCTTCGAAGGGCTGGCATCATTGAGGAATAAATAGGGATTTTTTTTAAGCACACAAACCAACAAAGAATTTCCAAACCAAATGAGGAACACACAAGTTTCTCTGCATACAACTGAAGATTTGTCTACAGAGATTAATTTTGTTGCTGTTTCAAAATGTTTACATAACTTTGTGAATCATCAGTGCCAGCCATTAAAAAAAAAAATACACAAATTTGTTCAAAATAAATGTGCACCCAGTCGTAATTGTCCGTTTAGTCAGACAAATATAATAATTCGTAATATCAACTGGCTCCGTCCCTCACTCACTCACACCGCTGCTATCTTTGTTCACAGTCTCGTCACTTCCCGTATCGACTACTGCAATTCACTTCTCTTCGGTGTCCATCACAAATGCCTCCATAAACTTCAACTTGTTCAGAATTAAGCAGCCCGGATCATCACGAGAACCCCCTCCTTACATCAAATCACCCCCATCCTCCGACAGCTCCACTGTCTCCCTGTCAAATTTAGAATTAATTTCAAATTACTTCTCTATACATTGAAAGCCATCCATAACCTTGCCCCCCCTATCTGTCAGATCTTCAAATTTCCATTCCCTCTCGCGTACTCAGGTCCTCATACTCCCTCCACCTTTCTCTTCCCTCTGCACGTCTCAGTACAATGGGGTGCAGAGCCTTCAGCCGTTCTTCCCCCAAACTCTGGAACTCACTTCCACCCAACATTCGTAATATTGACTCTCTTTCCACATTCAAAACCCAGCTCAAAACCCACCTATTCACACTTGCATATCCACCTTAAATCTTTCTATTCTTTGTTTATAATTTTATCTGTGGTTTTATTATTTGCTCTTGGTGTAAAGTGTCCTTGAGTGTTGTGAAAGGCGCTTGCAAATGAAATGTATTATTATTATTATTATTATTAATAATACGTGTCGTAAGCACCACCTCCACTGAAATACTCTTCCATTCAGGAATTAGGCAAGTTTAGCCTCAGCCTAACTAGAAATACACCTGAATGGGTCTCAAATGACAGCTTGGGTGGGGGGGTATGCAGTTTAGCGTTTCATTATTTTGAGCGCACATCTGTGAGAAGCACACAAAATGTCTTTTTTCCCCCCCAACTTAAACTAATTGAACACTCCCATCAGTCAACGCCAAAAGCCTAGTTAACCACAAATGAACGCAACGGGCGTCCGCTTGTGAGAAAGAAAGCCACTCTGAGTTGAGTTAAAAATGTGTTCAACTTGAAATTTAAAAAAAACAAAAAAAAGAAAGTTTTCAACTTACTTGGGCTGAAATCGCAAGAACCACGAGGAAAACACACAGCTTCATCTTGTTGGGAGCGAAAAGAACCTTGAGCGTCCAAGAGGCAGCGAAGGGAGATAAGAGTGATGTGTCGTTCGCGAACGAACCGGCTCTTAGAGCCGGCTCCTAAGAGGGAGGCGCTTTAATGGGAGCCGACTTTTTTTTTTCCTCCTGTTTTTTCCCCCTTTCGGTTAAAGCCGCAGGTGATTGGTCAAGATCCGTGGTAGAAGAGGGAGGGGAGGGTTACACACACACACACACACACACACACACACACACACACACACACACACACACACGCTTCAGTGAAGAGAAGGGGGAGGAGTCAGAGACACAGCAGCACACTGTGAGCAGCACACGAACAGGAGAGGCAGGGAGACAAGAGACAGCTCGATAGCGCTACATTACAGTACAGAGAAAAAAACTACACGGTGGAAAGTGGAAAGGTGAGAAAATGGATAGGAAACGCAGTGAAATTTGGACTGATTTCAACTTAATTGATAGTTCAAAGGCAGTGTGTAATCTGCAAGGTTAAAATATCCAATATCAAATTTTAATTTATAATTTGTTGTGTGGTAATCAAAGCTTACTTATGTTGTTTTACTGTAAATATTTAAACACTTATAAATATGCACAATCAGAGATTGGAACTTTTTGACCTTGTTTTGAGATGGGTCTTTGTAATTTATTTTTTTGTAGCACTCCATGTTGAGTATGTTCAGAAGAATATAAATAATAAATATTTGATATACTGTATATTTTTTACATTCGTAATTCATTTTACATTATTTTTGGTAGTAAACTAAGCAACAAAAAAACTGAGGAGCCATTTGGGAGCCGAGCCAAAAGAACCGACACTTCCAACAGGGGGGGAAAAAAAAAAAAATCACAAGATCTTTGCAAACCAGTGAAAATAGAAAAAGAGGAAAAACTTAAAAACATGTTCTATACTTTCAAAATGTTAGGGACAGAACTCTGTTTTTTGTTCTGAAATTAACACTGTTGTGACCAAAAAGCTGCCAAAATTGCCTACTATATCAAAGGTGATATCTATCTCATAAACAACATGATACAGCAAAATAATTTAAAAAAATGTGGATTTTGTTGGAAGGGTGAATAAACATCTCAGTCCCCCCCCCCAAAAAAAATCAGTATTTTCTAGCTATTCTTTGATGGGTCAGGTCTTAACACGGTTCAACTAATTGAACACTCCCATCCGTCAACGCCAAAAGCCTAGTTAACCACAAATGAACGCAACGGGCGTCCGCTTGTGAGAAAGAAAGCCACTCTGAGTTGAGTTAAAAATGTGTTCAACTTGAAATTAAAAAAAAAAAAAAAAAGTTTTCAACTTACTTGGACTGAAATCGCAAGAACCACGAGGAAAACACCAAGGATAACACACAGCTTCATCTTGTTGGGAGCGAAAAGAACCTTGAGCGTCCAAGAGGCAATGAAGGTAGATAAGTGGCAAGATGATTCCAATTGCAAGCCCAGCCCATATTTATACCCCAGAAGACGTCACGCAGCGACGCCCCGACGTGTGCTGTGCGTTCACGTGTTGTCGGAAGCGTTCTGCTGATTTGATTTATAATGTTTTATTTTTCATTTGTATTTTTTATGAAAGAGAGAATGAACCTCACGTGAAATTGTTGTTTTGATATGTAGCACACCTTTCTGATCGTCTAAAGCAGTGTTTTTCAACCGGTGTGCCGCGAAACATTGTCAGGTGTGCCGCGGGAAAATTTCCAATTTTTATGCCTGTGCGGTCTTTCGCCCAGAAAATAATCATGTAGTACCCTCTCATACCGCTAGGAAGCAGCAACAGCTAGCCAATTGCCTTGTGTTACGACGAGAGACGCGAATTTGTGACGCATGAATGCAGGACGACGGTGAAACAATAAATATGAAACATGATAAAATACTGTTTTCTTTGTGTTCTTTAGATTCCAATTCAAGCTGTTATAACGTCATTCTTCAATGTTAAAAACGGTTATAGTAACAATATAACACGTTAGTTGGTAAAATAAGCCGGGGGGGTGGGGGGGGTCACATTTTCAGCTAGTGGTGTGCCGCTGTGAAAAAAAATTCAAAAAAGTTCGTTAAACCCTGATCTAAACAGCCCCAGGTTTCACACTGATTGAGTATAAATAAACTGAGAAATTATATTTTAATTAAATACACTGTTCAGAGTGTCATTTTATCACATTTTTGGTTAGTGGTGTGCCGCAAAATTTTTCCAATGTAAAAAACGTGCCCTGGCTCAAAAAAGGTTGAAAAACACTGGTCTAAAGCGACACACCTGTAAAGCAGGTGAAAAGTTCAGTAAACACAATGTATTTGAAAGTTGCTAATAGTGCCCTCGACCGGATGGTGGTGAAATTGTTTGCGCGACTTTTTATTTTGACCACATATACTTTCCGTACTTGTCCCTCTATTTTGTTTCTTCCGGTAGAAACAATCCGAGTGCAGAAGGACGTATTAAAACGCCACCACTCAGGATAATCGCTGGCATTTCCCACCACCAGCTCAATAATATCTCAATGCTGCTGTGCAGTGGTTTGGCCGTAAGCCGGACGCTAACGAGATGGGGACGTGGGGCACACCGAGGAGGAGACCTCCACCACCGGTCCTTTTTGTGTAGCTCGAGCCGCTGTCATGGCGTTTCCGCGGGCGAAGGCAACACTCAGTCTGTCGAGACGGGCTCTGCTCAGGGATTGTACCGGGACACCGTGCTACTTCCCCGGACGGACTTCCCCATGAAACTGGCGGGACAGAAGCTGCTTGACAGAGAAGTCGAGATTCAGGAGGTACGACCGACCAGCTTTGGACAAATCTTCAGTTCCAAAACCTTCGAGATGTTTGATGACTTCCTTGTTGACGGCATGCCCCGCCTAACAGTAGTTTGGACCTGTTTTATTAGTGTTGATATTTGTGTCATCAGTTCGCCATGAAACACGAATACATCGTTGTTCCAGTATATCCCGAAGGGCACAATTTAAAATGGAACGTAGGAAGTAAACTTTCTTTTTTGTGTTACTCTTTTTTGCTACATTTTGAAGCAGACAAGTTGCACACCATCGCCGATTTCAACAATAACACTTTATTATCTTTACGTTTGGCTTAGCTGCAGTGAATGAACAGTTCTTTACCGAGGTTGTCCATTCTCACACACACACACACACACACACACACACACACACACACGCACACACACACGCACACACACACGCACACACACACACGGATGGATGTTCAACCACATCCACTCAGTTTATCATACATTATTGTCACAAGCACAAGGTAAACATCTACGGATGTGTTTTTTTTGCAGAAATGTGGATTTGCAAGTTTGTACACTTGGCAGAGCGAGAGGAAGGCCAAGAAATTTTGCCTTCACGATGGACCCCCATATGCCAATGGAGACCCACACGTAGGACACGCGCTCAATAAGGTCAACATTTTAGATCTTTTTTTCCCCCTCTGTTGCTCACTGTTGCAGTTAGGGATGGGTATCATTGAGATTTTAATGATAATACTCCTTATGAAACTGCTAATTTAGCCGGCACTATTTTGTGGTACTGTCTTCTTTATTCTTCTTTTATCCGGTACTTTCTCAAAACAAGTATTAGAATTTCTGCTACTTTTTAAATTATTTTTTGAAATATAAATTCACTTGTCTTGAAGCTACATAGTCATTCATCTAAAACAAATAAAAAACAATAATTTACAGAAAAGTAAATGGTTGGAACAAATCACTATTAAACTATGAAACATAATACGGAGTCAAATACGGCAGTTTGAAAAAAAAATCTGCCCCGGGGTTAGTTTAATAACGGTTCTCATTATTCATCCATAGTAAGTCAACAGAGAAATGGGTTCAAACCTACTGTTGTTTGAAATCATCAACTGTGGATTCTAAATTAATCCTCCACATTTGAGTTGTAAAAAGATTCGAGCTAAAAATTAGAGATGCAATAAATTGTTTTTGTCAATTGATATGAATGATAAGGAACTTTGGCATACATCCATTCCAACTTATATATTCATTCCTTTGATCCAGATCCTGAAAGACATCCATAACCGTTTTGAGATGCTGAGAGGCCGACAGGTGCACTACATCCCGGGCTGGGACTGCCATGGTCTTCCCATTGAGCTGAAAGCTCTGGGCGAGCTCGGTGCCACGGATCTCAGACCGCTGCAGATCAGGCGCAAGGGTAGGAATGAAATGCAGGTAGCTCTGTAAACTTGCTGTGTGTAGGATTTGATTTGCTTCACTATGTTGTTTTGTTTGTAGCTCGTCAGTTTGCAAAGGGGGCCATAGAGCGTCAGAGGGCTGCTTTCCAGCGCTGGGGGGTGATGGCTGACTGGGGCCAGTGCTACTACACCTATGATGGTGCCTACGAGGCCGCTCAGCTGAAAGTGTTCCAAGAGATACACAGCAAGGTGGGTCATTAAGAAAATCTGAACATCATTTTTATATTTTATTTTTTGTAAAAATGTCCATGCCAAGCTAAATTTGGCACAGAAAACAACAACAACAAACACCTTTAATGCAAAGATCCTTTAGGAAAGGATTCTTATTGTTTTGTGTGTGGTGTGTACACTTTTGCAACAAGCTTCTTTTTCATTCCCCCAAAAATTGTGTTCTTTTCCACCAAACACATTTAATTAATTTACATTTTCTTTGTACAGTTTTTAAGTCTCATAGTTATTAATTATACCATCCCAAAGTTTAAAAAATGGATAAGCTCCAGCCCCTCCTTGCAACCCTAAAGAAGACAAACGCTATTGATAATGGATTGATTGTGAAAACGCTGATCCATCGTGGCTTCATCTTCTTTAATTGTCTTGCAGATGTCAACCATTTTGAATGCCCATTGCAATTATATGATTGGAGAGGAACAACAGCTTTTCTGTCCTGAGTACTGTTTATGCTTATGTTTCCTTCATTCAACTGCATTCATTTCACTCTGTTGTCTCGTAGGGGCTCATCTATCAAGATTACAAGCCAGTTTTTTGGTCTCCCTCATCAAGGTATGAAGATATTTTTCGCAGAATTTGCAACATGAAGGCTTGGAAATGTGGTTTTCAAAGGAGGAAC